CTGTAGTTACGGATAAACTTTAGGTAGAAGAACCACTAATTCTGAAAATTACCGAACACCTGTTTAGTTTTCCCTGAAAAGCATTTTTAATGACCTTAATGCTTTCTTTTACCAAAGTTATCCATTTTATTTACGGTTAACATGAAGCTATTGGAATATCTACAGAAATATATACATTTCTTATTTCATATTTATATGTTGGTATGTTGAGAAAATATATGTAAAGAAAATAAATGCCTTTACAAATTTTTTTATTCACTATGTCCAGTATGAACTATAAACTAAATCCAATGTAGATTTCTCACACTTAAAAATCTACAGGTAAAGGAAAAAATACTTTGGAACTACAGCAACACTCCAAAAGATCTAGATTTTGCGGACGAGTGATGTTCAACGTCAAATAAACGCAAAGACCTACGTGTAAAAAGCAACCAGTTGGAATAAGACGCAGCAAAGACAGGACTGCAAGTGAGCATACAAACAGAGGTGATGAAAATAAAAAAACAAGAACCAACAAAAGCAGAATTTTTGAACGCAGATAAGCTACTGAAATCTGGAAAGGCAGCAGGATGGAATTCAACCTGAAGCACTGAAAACGGGCTCAGAGACTGCAACAGATAAGCTGATGCAACTATTGCAGGAGATTTACAATGAAAGAAAAGTAACTACCCATCATCGGAAGAAAGGCCATCTTGTCAAACTACCTAAGAAAGAAGACTTAGGTCTGTGCAAGAACTGACGCGGAATAATACTGTTTTCCATGCTTAGTAAAACCATGAGTTGCATCATCCCGAAGAGAATAAAAGATTCATTGGATGCAGAACAACACTCAGGAAAAGCTAAGTTAGGAAAGGCAAATCAGATGTGGATCAAATTACAAACCCAAGCATTATCATCGAACAGAGCCAAGAATGACAGTCAAATCTCAACTTCAGTTTTGTCAATTTTGAAACAGCCTGCGACAGCGTTGACCAAGAAGTAGTTTGAAAACTACTTCAACTACTACTTCAAATGTCACAAATCTCCATCAACCTTGTTCAGTAGCTGTATGACAGTGGCACGTGTAAAGTGATCCATGATAAAAAACTCAGCAAAATTTTCAAGTAAAGACGGGAGTAAGACAAGACTGCCTACTACCACCAATGATATTTCTAACTGATCAAAAATGCCCATTGAAATTTACAAAAAATGGATACCAAATAAAGAGTACTCTTTTCGTAAACTTCACCATCAGGCTCTACAGTTATGTATACATTATAGTGAATGAATGATATAAACAACATTAAAGTTCAAATAACATCGAATCAGTAATATCAATATATTACAGTCCAATAATATCCAAATAAAAAAAGCTGAATGTCATAAAACTTAGAAGAGATAATATTTAAAATTCATGAATTTATTGTCTCTATTGAATACCAGGGCAGTAGTAAAGGCTGAACTTGTTTCTTCTGCACACAGAGCACCGGTTGTTTGAGGCTAATTGTAATAGACACTGCTGTTTGGAGCATGCGGTGCGTCGATGTTTTCGGCAATTTATAAGGCACCCGTTAGATGAAAGAGAAAAATTCTCCAAAGCTACCCATGTGGTTCTTTGCACAAGGTGGTCCAATATCGAACTGTTAATGTTTTTACTACACTTTTCCTTAAACATAGTGGGCGATGTTCCAGAGGAGGAAAATCAAGATCATAGTGCGACGGCCGATATAACTCGCTCAACAAAAGCATTTGAATTGTGGTAGAGCGGAATATTCAAAAACCAGCAAAATGTTATAAGAATAGCCAAAACATGAACTTCAAGTGAACATAGACAAGACGCAGGTGATAAAGAAAACCAATAAACCAACAACAGCAACAAATGCACCAATCACCACCAACCAGACAAATATAAACAAAGTCACTCCCTTCACTTATCCACACAGCTTCGTTTCAAAAACAGACAGCTAGAACACGTGAAAATGAAAAAACACCACAATCAGACATGGATAACAGACATTCATCACTCTGTAATCACTTAGTATTTCATCTATCTAATCATCACACCATGGACAATAAATTTCCGATTCACAACACCAATATTGAGTACGGGAGTTCTTCCACGTGGGTAAGGAACTCTGCAAGCTTACCACTACAAGCATTTCCAAAAGTCAGCTGCACACTCTCATCAACAACCCCCTTTCATAGCTCCATATTGAAGACTAGATGGCCGACCAGAAAGGATTAACAAAAAGAAATTGAGGGGAGGTAGAACGACGAATCAACAACCTATCACTCAACAAATATTCCGAAGTAGATAGAGATGGATTCGACTCCTGTTGAATAGGCCACTGAGTGGAATCGCTGATCAGGTCATCAGGCGAGTGGAACTCGAATGGGAAATGGTGAGTTTGATGTGTGAGGATAAAATGGAGGAGATGAGAGACTGGGAGCAATCGTGTGGTCCGCTAGTGAAGACCACGGAGAATGAGACAAAATGAAGATGTGCTGCTGAAGGCTAGCATTCCACTAGGAACCTAAGGGAAAAATTTTAAAATAATAAGAAACAAGGATGCAGTATAATCTCGTGCATTTCACAGTGTAGAATTATCAAACTAATTAGTTGACGTATTAGTAAGGTTATGTTATTTGGGTGTATTAGAAATGTATACTTCTTTTATTATTAGTACTAAGTAGTAGTATAAACAGCACTAAAATTCTATTGACTACATGTGAAAAAATTTTGAATGCATTTTTATTGAAAAGAAAAATAAATCAGTTTATCCTATACATTCTCAATTTAACACAATAAATTTTGTTATGAAAACCTTTCTCCTCTGGTTAAGCAACACAAACAATAAATTGCGTACACAAATTAGGTGTTAATTTATCAAAATATTATGCAGAGAGTAAGCCGCAACAGAACATATTATTATTGTTAGTTAGACAAGTAAATTAGTGAATATCAAAAGTGCTTTCATTTCCGTTTTATTCTTTGTTATTCTTTTTAACATTTCAATCATGCTTAAAATGAAGTCATCCTTTTTTTGCAGGAAATTTCGCATGAACCTACTTGTTAGAATTATCTGAATCAGAAAGATTGTATTTCGCAGAATAACAACATTTTCTTAGAAAATGGAGAAACAGAAATACACAAAGAGGATAACGAAATTCTGTGTACATATTATATTAATGATTTCATTGGCCTTACTCCATGTTGCTTAATTCTCCGGCATAAGCTTATGAAGTTAAACGTGATCTAGTGTTTTGAAACACTAGCTGCTTGTTTTGATAGGTGAAGTCGACAGAATTACAGTACTATTTTTAGTAAATGTCGGTCAGAATTCAAATTATTGTTAAACAAGCCATCAATCCAATTACTATTCAGATTACAGTAGTTAAACAAACAGAATAAGTAGAGTAAATTAAATTTATTCATTTAAAGATATTTATTGCAGGTATTTGGTTCAAAATGCAAATTAGTACACGAGGCGAATATATGCATACACATAGTGTTTATCCTTATTTATTACCACTTGGGGACAGAATCTTCTCCGTGTGAGTCCATATTACTAAAATATTGGCTTAAAAGTCCTTTACAATTTCAATTTCAAAAATCGCATTGCTTATATGATGAATAAAACTGGAGAATTTATTGGTTATTTCGTCATTGAAAATAGTTAAGATTAACCTAACAGATAAGCTTCTAGACAAAGTTAAAAAAGTTAGAGAAGTTCAGGCAAGCTGCAATAATTTGACTATTACAAAAGGAAAGTCTAAAATCTTCAAGGCTTCTAACCTCCTGTAAATAGAACAAGTTTAACATATACGGATGAATTCAGCAATCGAAGCCAAACGAGGTCTAACCTGAAAGCAAATGTAAAGTGTAAACTCCTGTAAATGACCCAACTATCTCATCCACACAAAGTTGTTTTATGTTACTCTTGAGGTAAAACTCGGGATTAGTTGTTGGCGAAGTAATACTAGTCATTACGCTTGCATTAATGTTAGAATCTTAACAGGGAATTTGAATTTAGAAGTTCAAGGAAATTTTTTAAATATGCAAATGACTTCAATAATTAAATAGCAAATGAATCCACACAGAATAAATTATTTAAATATAAGTTAGGTAATTAGAGCCGGTTGTCAAATACAATGGCCGGAAAAGTTGCAATATCTTTGAGATCAGAGCATATTGCCTAGCAAACTTTATAAGTGCTTTGGAGTAGTAACCTTAATAGGATGTTTCAAATCCTCTATAAAGATAAGAAACAATATTAATAGTGATATTAGTAAAGCTTTATTTCAGACAATAATGTGAACATGTATTACGGACATTTTCAGCGTATTTAGTCCCTAAATATTTTTTCTACATACAGAATTTATACATAAAGTAATAATCTGAAGTTTATCATTTGTCATAGTGTTGTTGCATATGAGGAGAGAACCAAATCTGTACGTTTTTTTCTTCAACTGCATAGTGTTTAGTGGGAAATTAATTGAATATGCGCGTCATTCGATGCAATTGTACGACTAAAACGACACGGAGTGCAGAACAGTTTAGGCATTTCGGTGGATAGAAATTCTAGTAGCCCAATAATTTAAGCAGGCCGCCGGACATTTGTTTGCGCTTATTAACCTTCAGAAACAGAAACTACTTTCCTCATAACATGCTAAATATTATTTCACATGCAGGCACGCAAGATTCAATGCAACTGGCAACATTTTTGCAATCATTAGTATGTCTTCCCGCGGTTATATCAAAGATGAAAGGTCCATCCACGTACAATAAGGATAAATGTGATATTTAAAATAAGTCTAACTCACCATACCAACTTATTTTTTTAAATTATGACAAAAAAATTGCCCATCATTTCTATGGAAGAGTCCCAATAATGATAAAAAAATAACTACAAATAGTTGGAAATTCTGATTGGTTGAAATATTCCTGTACAGTCATGCACCTACAAGTGATTGGATTTTTAACTCCTCATAAATTTTTATTCGTCATTTGTTAAATATTTCATCTATGTGGTGAAATATTTTCCCCTTTTTAAAGTATAAATATGTGATTAAAATGCACCGTTCATTTTCGCATTATTTCGAATATTTACCTTGAAAAGATATTCAAAAAGAGAATTACTGCATTCATTTTTGTTCTGTAGCAGAAAATGTTTGATTCGGCTTTTTGTTAGTAAACGTTGACGTAAACAAACTTTAACTGCTCCATAAACATAATCATAACTATTTTCAACATTTGGTAAGGTATACAATGGGTTCAGAACAGAGTCGTCCTTCTGGTAACAAACAAGCTGGGTCAAAAAAGATTAGTGTAGCAGCCGTTCCGCAAAATGATCAACAAAAATTCAATCAAGAGGATGCTATACAACCGAATGAAGTTCCCCCAGACAATAATCACAATACTTATGATGATAATGACAATAATAATGAGTCGAAAACAGAAATACAAAAATCAGGACCACCGAAACCAGGCGAAATTAAGTCATTTCGACAATTGTTTTCAGACTTCGAATTGGATGTTCTCTTCTCTACATGGCCATTGTTGTCAAAAAATCCAGTTGGAACTGGTTGTCTAGTATTTAAAAATGCTTTTGAAATCCATCCAAAATTACGAAATTTTTTTGCATTCGGGTAGGTTCTGATGTTCATTCATTTCACGTTTTGAACGAACAGTAATATTTCCTCATTTAGTTCTACAGTGTCGTATTTTGAATAATGCCTGACGAATATTTACGCTGGTTAAGTTTCCAGCGTCACGACTTATTCTATGGTGCATGAATTACTAAGAAGGTTTAGGGTTATGCCGACAAAGTGTTTTATCATAAATATTAATGTTTTTCATTATAGAAAATGTAATTTACCAACTGTTTGGTATCTTATTATTTAAATAGTTGTTTTACCTGTTCTGAATCCGGAAATGCTAATCAGTGAGATTTGTAGGTCTTCATTTTTGAAGGAAAAGAAAGTTCAGGGAAATTGAAACAACAAGCAGTACTCGCAACTGTGCACAAGCCGATATAGTACTTAAATATTCACAAAAATTCAAAGAAATCACACTACTGAATTAGTTATTTGCACTGTATATTTCTCAACTCTGATTAGTATAGCTAATCTAAAATCCCAAGTTATGCATTAGGATTTAGTTTTATGTCTGACTTTTAAAATCTTGATGTCGCATCCAAGAAATACACCTTTAGCATTTCATGCGATTATTAGTCATCAACATAGAGATTGTGTGGCTTACTGTTATTGTGTGTCGAAATTGTAATCATATCTAATGATTCCTGACCAATGATGACTAAAATATCGGTCTTAAATATTTGACTTTATGTAATTTGGTGAATTCAGAGAGAAAGAACGTGTACTTAGTAGAAAATTTGCACTTGAAACAGAATAAAATTATATCCCTTAATTTGGAAAAAATGTGAAAATATATGTGATCTATAGGTACATCGGATTAGACGTTTGCCTTATAAATTGATCATTCAGTTGTGTGGACGGAACTTGTTATTGTTTGTAGACAGAGCGGGTCACTAATCGCAAATGCGTTATCATCAACTCACCTATTTCAGTGAGTACATAATATGGCTTTGAAGAGGTAGATATCGGAGTTGCATATTTACTAACCCTTAACTCATAGCCTAATAGCTGCTTTCCGGGGCTAATGGATCGAATTCTACTGCGACCTGACATTCTGTCACTTTCAGTCATCCTGTACAACTTAACCACAGCTACCAGTTTTATTTAAAACTATTTCTTTAGTTCAAAAATGAATAACCTTCACACAGAATATCTTCTTATCAGTGAAATAGTTTCAGATGGTTGTCTTGCTACTAATGCTAAATGAAAGAATAAATCTACAGTCAGGAAGCTATTTTCATCCGACGCGACTGATATAATTTAAGATTGTTGGTCAATTTGTAAATATTTCAAGAAAGGAAGTAGCTCCTGCCTAGTAACTGAGATTCTTCCTTCACCCACCAAAGATAAAACTTACAGTTTTACTGTCAACTCAGTAAAAATGACATGAGAGTCACTTTAAAGCTTTTTTAATCCTATTTATCAATCATTATCAGTCGGAATATGAATGAAAAGAAGCAAAATTCGGGCACAGTTTAAGTTATCCCGCAGCTATCTTTCAATGGCCATAGTATCTCTTACAGCTAGTCACGTCAAAATATGCCAAAAACACAAATCTGAGAATCGGAAATTGTTTTACTTCTGCATCCATCCCTAATAAGCACGTTTAATCTCATCGAAATCCGTAGGCGTAGGGAAATTGGAAAACTTACACTTCACTTGAATTAAGGTCATATGACATATAATTTGACGTTAGAAATGTCCTATCAATTGCTTGTTTAAGTCATATTGCTTATTATTCCTCAGTTACATCATATGCAACCACATTCACGTAGCATTGAGACTAAAGACAAGAAAACGTTGTAGTATTTATAGTTGGATTTTGGGAGCTTAAAAGACAGTTTTTAGTACGATAAGTCTCTAAAATTAGACGTGAACTCATAAAGAAGACTTGCAGACAAGGGTGAGAATGGAATTCTTTTGGTGTTTCTTATGTGTTAGTGTTTGATTGTGAAAGTTTCACACCTAGAACTGGTAGCATCTTCACTACGAACTGTTTAATGTATATAGAGGAACTCAGGGAATATCATACGACATAAAATTGCAACATAAGTTATTTATGGCTAATGTTAAATGGTTGGAGGTAATCGGCAGGAAGCCTTGGACCTAGGAATAGACACCTAGACCTAGAGAGGACTAGACACATCACACTATTTACTAGTGTCAAATCAAAATTACGGCTAATGTTTAGTAAAGTTACTGACGTGATTATTCCAATCACTTCATCTTCAAGCTACTCAGTGAATAGATATTAACAGAAAGGGACGAAGACAAACGAAACAGACTACTAGAATACTACATTTATACTCATGTTGTCATCATTCTTTGGTTGTAAAGAAAAATGTCAGTAAAATCTGTTGGCATTTGTAGTTCAGTGGTCCACTGAATATGTATAATAAAAATCGATTTTTTGAGTAGTAAAATGTTCATTAGTCAGCAGCAAGCGTAGGATATTCACTATGATGGAGGTTGTGACTTCTTCACTGTTGTCACAGAGGACTTCGTCATTCTTCAAGCTAATAAATGGGTCGACAAAGTAATAAAAACTCACCGCTGTTAAGTTTATTTCTTTTAATGCCAGTCTAAACACGTTAGTATGTTGACCGCGTCGAAGATAATATAAGCTCACAACTTTAATGTGATTGATTATTCACTAATGTTTCGATATCTCCATGACGTATACATTTTCAACCGTAGATAAAATGCAAGATACATGTTGATGAAAGCCTAATTATCCCTTGTGGCTTGATTTTACATTGGTTCCTAGCTTCAACAGAGAACTGGATGCCTGATAACTACATATTCGTTACTGTCGACCTAAATAAGTATTTGTCCCAAAGAGAGTTTATTTCATTTCATCAGGTTATACCTCAAATGTTTTCACCTTGAAAGTGAATGACCGGAGTATCTCCGGTTAATTCCTGTTCATCACAAACACTTTTTAACATGCATGCTATCAGAAAACATATGTTTGACTTCGAAATATGTTAAACAGTATTTTAATTTAAATTCATAATCTAATTCACATAAATATTACCAGTTGTTTCTACTTTCTATGTTTGAAATAAGAAGTAAGTTGCCTTTCTTTTACAACAATCTTTAAATGAATAAATTTAATTTACTCTACTTATTCTGTTTGTTTAACTACTGTAATCTGAATAGTAATTGGATTGATGGCTTGTTTAACAATAATTTGAATTCTGACCGACATTTACTAAAAATAGTACTGTAATTCTGTCGACTTCACCTATCAAAACAAACAGCTAGTGTTTCAAAACACTAGATCACGTTTAACTTCATAAGCTTATGCCGGAGAATTAAGCAACATGGAGTAAGGCCAATGAAATCATTAATATAATATGTACACAGAATTTCGTTATCCTCTTTGTGTATTTCTGTTTCTCCATTTTCTAAGAAAATGTTGTTATTCTGCGAAATACAATCTTTCTGATTCAGATAATTCTAACAAGTAGGTTCATGCGAAATTTCCTGCAAAAAAAAGGATGACTTCACTTTAAGCATGATTGAAATGTTAAAAAGAATAACAAAGAATAAAACGGAAATGAAAGCACTTTTGATATTCACTAATTTACTTGTCTAACTAACAATAATAATATGTTCTGTTGCGGCTTACTCTCTGCATAATATTTTGATAAATTAACACCTAATTTGTGTACGCAATTTATTGTTTGTGTTGCTTAACCAGAGGAGAAAGGTTTTCATAACAAAATTTATTGTGTTAAATTGAGAATGTATAGGATAAACTGATTTATTTTTCTTTTCAATAAAAATGCATTCAAAATTTTTTCACATGTAGTCAATAGAATTTTAATGCTGTTTATACTACTACTTAGTACTAATAATAAAAGTAGTATACATTTCTAATACACCCAAATAACATAACCTTACTAATACGTTAACTGATTAGTTTGATAATTCTACACTGTGAAATGCACGAGATTATACTGCATCCTTGTTTCTTATTATTTTAAAATTTTTCCCTTAGGTTCCTAGTGGAATGCTAGCCTTCAGCAGCACATCTTCATTTTGTCTCATTCTCCGTGGTCTTCACTAGCGGACCACACGATTGCTCCCAGTCTCTCATCTCCTCCATTTTATCCTCACACATCAAACTCACCATTTCCCATTCGAGTTCCACTCGCCTGATGGCCTGATCAGCGATTCCACTCAGTGGCCTATTCAACAGGAGTCGAATCCATCTCTATCTACTTCGGAATATTTGTTGAGTGATAGGTTGTTGATTCGTCGTTCTACCTCCCCTCAATTTCTTTTTGTTAATCCTTTCTGGTCGGCCATCTAGTCTTCAATATGGAGCTATGAAAGGGGGTTGTTGATGAGAGTGTGCAGCTGACTTTTGGAAATGCTTGTAGTGGTAAGCTTGCAGAGTTCCTTACCCACGTGGAAGAATTCCCGTACCCAATATTGGTTTTGTGAATCGGAAATTTATTGTCCATGGTGTGATGATTAGATAGATGAAATACTAAGTGATTACAGAGTGATGAATGTCTGTTATCCATGTCTGATTGTGGTGTTTACATTTTCACGTGTTCTAGCTGTCTGTTTTTGAAACGAAGCTGTGTGGATAAGTGAAGGGAGTGACTTTGTTTATATTTGTCTGGTTGGTGGTGATTGGTGCATTTGTTGTTGTTGTTGGTTTATTGGTTTTCTTTATCACCTACGTCTTGTCTATGTTCACTTGAAGTTCATGTTTTGGCTATTCTTATGACAGTTTGTTGGTTTTGGTATATTTCAGTCTACCATAGTTAGGAATATCATCTCTGGTAGTAGGCAGTCTTGTCTTACTCCCGTCTTTCCTTGAAAGGTTTTGTTGAGTTTTTCGTCATGGATCACCTTACACGTGTCAATGTCATACAGCTGTTGAGTCAGATTGATGGGGATTCACGATAATTGAAGCCCATAGAGAGAATGTGGCCATTACATTTTGGGCCATCTAGGCCTTCAGAGGCTTT